GGATTGTTGTGACCCAAGTGCAGGACCCAGCACTTGGCCCTGTTGAACCTCATACAGTTGGCCTGGGCCCATCGACCCAGCCTGTCCAGGTCTCTCTGCAGAGCTCTCCTCCCCTTGAGCAGATCAACACTACCACCCAGTTTGGTGTCATCTGCAAACTTACTGAGGGTACACTCAGTCCCCTCATCCAGGTCATTGATAAAGATGTTAAACAGAACTGGCCCCAGAACTGAGCCCTGGGGGGCGCTGCTTGTGACCCGCCACCAACTGGATTTAACTCCATTCACCACAACTCTCTGGGCTCGGCCATCCAGCCAGTTTTTTACCCAATGAAGAGTACGCTTGTCTAAGCCATGAGCCTCCAGCTTCTCTAGGAGAATGCTGTGGGAGACTGTGTGAAAGGCCTTGCTGAGTCCAGGTAAACAACATCCACAGCCTTTCCCTCATCCACTAGGTGGGTCACCTGGTCATAGGAGGAGGTCAGGTTGGTCAGGCAGGCCCTGCCTTTCATGAACCTATGCTGGCTGGGCCTGATCCCCTGGTTGTCCTGCACATGCCTGGTGAGTGCACTCAGGATGAACCACTCCATAACCTTCCCTGGTACTGAGATCAGGCTGACAGGGCTGAAGTTCCCCAAGGATCCCTGAATCCTTGTGCTGCCTCTGCTGCCTGGCTGGCTCAGCCACAGGGGTACCTGGTACTCAGCTGTCCCCGTGCCGTGCCCAGCTTGTGCTGGAGGTAGCTCCTTTGCTCCGTGGGACTGGCAAAGATAACCTGGCCCCGGGAGCACCTTCCCTGACAGCTGCTCTCCCTTTTCCTTCCCCGTGGAGCAGCCTCTGCCTTGGGCTGCTCACTGAAGGGTGCCCAGGTGCAAGGGAAACATCTTTCTCTGATGATTCGTTTATTTTTCTCCCTAAAAACATCCTGGCCCTCATAGACAGCACAGGTCATCTCCTGGAGTGAGAAGCCCAGATGCTGGGTCTAAGAAGAAAAGACTGTAGAAACCTACACTAAAAAAGGGGGATGTTTGGTCTTACTGAAACAGAGAGTAACAGCTCAGCTTGTTTCTGGGGAGCTTGTCTATATTTGACAACGAAGGGGGTTTTTGTACATGTATATTTGTCCTTGCTCATTGCAGGGGGGTTGGACTAGATGACCTCTAAAGGTCCTTTCCAACTCAAAGCATTCTATGAGTCTGTGATTCTATATTGGTAGCTCACTAACTATATTATAAGGTAGCTGGTTTAGATATGGGCTATGTGTTGGTAGCCAAAAAAAAAAAAAAAAAAAAGAGATGCTCGGAAAGAACTACGCATTTTTGTAGCTGCTTCTAAAGTTGAAAAACATTTATCAGCACTGACGTGATCAAACCGCAGAGCAACTCGGGCACATGCAGCTTCCACAAGTAGCACCTGAGCACAACGTAAACTCGCATTTGCTCGAGTGACCGTTTTGGGCTGTGGCTGCCTGAACACGGGGCTGCCTTTAAAGCAGGTTTTCTGTAAGTGGGAGCTCTGGGGACCCGTGGCTCTGTGGCTAACTTCAAGGCTGTGAAATCAAGCTAATGAAGAGCCTCTACCATGGGTACTGTGTGTTCAAGCCTGTGGTGACAGCATCTGTGTTTGCAAGGCTGGGCAGGTCTCACTAGGATGCTGCATTAGAGGGCAGCAGAAAACAGCTTTGTGCTATTTGTCTCCATTTTTGTTTTTTTCATCACCAACCTCTACCTTGTCTTCCTCCTTCTCCTCCAGTTACCACTGTCTCCCTGGTTGAGAGTAGCCGGATAGCCACAGGTGCCGTGCTCCTCCTGGTCAGCCGAGCCCTCTTCGTCCTCATCAGCATTTATTATTATTACCAAGTTGGACGCCGTCCCAAGAAAGTCTAATTCCTGGGCTTTTTGTCATGGGAAGGGTGGGAGGGGGGGTTTGTGTCGGTAATTTTGCATTATAATTATAACTTTTTTTGGACCCCCCCAGCCCCTCTGCAGGAGGGGGGGAGCAGTGGGAGGAAGGCTCAGGGAGGTGTGCAGGCCTGGCAGGCTCAGGGAAAAGAGCCGGTTTCCCGTGGGAAACTGGCCGATGGGATCACAGGCTCTGAACCCGCTGGAACAAAGCACAAAATGAGACCAGCACATTGAAACCAAATCCCTGAGGAGACAGGGCGAAGGACTGGGCTACTCCCTTGGTAAGCCTTGCACCTGCCCGGTGGAGCATGCCCTCACGTACAGCTCGGTCCCCTTTTAGCAAGTACTGACTGTCCAGGTAGCTGGGAGCTGGATGGGGCTAGGTCTAGTTTAGCGCTTTGCAAACTGCTCTTCTTTCCTCACTGCCAGAGGTGCCACCCCGCTTGTAGTTCTGCACCGGGTGCCGTGCAAAGCTTGGCAGGAGATAGAGCAGAAAGAAGAGGGAGGCTTCTTGCTTGTTCCCTTTGCAGGGAGAGCACTGGGAACAGCGGAGCAACTTGGACTGTAGTATGTGAGAAGCAAAGGAAGCTAATGAAAAAAGCCCGTTGAGCACAAAGGCATCCCCTTGCTTGGGATGTTCTGTGAAGTCTCTAGGCTGGGCTCCTGTCCCTTGACACCGGAACACCTCCTGCAGTTACAGCTTTACTGACGGCAGCAGTGGTGGTGGGTGTGAGGTAGCGGTTGACGCTTTAGTTTAGTTAAGCAGGGGCTGGAGTGCTGCTGTAGTTGGTGTGAGCAAGAGCAGAGCGAGCATCAGTCTGGCTCTTTGGGTCAGGGTGCAGCCCCTAGAGGTGAGCCCCAGCTATGGGAGACAGTGTTCCAGCTCTGCTGATGTGCAGGCATCACAGATCTTCTGACTTTGAGAAGAGAGGACCAAAGTTTGTAGCATTAAGATATTTAACTGGGATGAAGAAGGGGGGTGGGGGTGGGGGGTGTAGGCGGGTGTGATGAAGGCATCATTGCATTTTCTAGCTCAGTCAAGGAAGGACTAAATGTGCTTTAGTACTCACTGGCCAGTTTCTCCAACACCTCCTGGGCTTAACAGCATTGGCTGCCCTACTTCCTAGCGCTTTCCTTGCGGATTATCCCTGTCCACAGCTGGAGGCGGCATTTTTTTTGTTCTCCATGGGACTAAAGCCAGAAGGTCTGTGTACAGGATACGGACTTCTTACTCATGTGCTACTGTTGCTGGATCAAAGCATGCCCTGGAATAGAGCGGACGTCCCAAAAAATCCCAGTAGAAAGATGCCTACACAAACAGAAGTGCTTGTGTGAACAACAGCCCTCAAGCCATGGGTGAGACTGGGATCTACGGCTATTGCTGTTTAATATCTTAGTAGAGTTAGAAGAAGGTAGTGGGTAGTTACTGTATGTTGTGTTAGTGCTTTTGGCATTTAGGAGCAGCTGCGTAAACCTGGGACACTGCGTGCGTTGTACCTACTGGCCATGCAAAATGTCTGTCCAGTAAGAATACTGGAAATAGTTGAACTGGGAAACATCACAACAGTAATTTTTTTTTTTTTCCTAAGAAGAAAATCAAATGGAGAGGCAACATCCAACAGCAGGCTAAATTCTGGAGCCTCCCAACAACACATGCCTGCCAAGCTGCTTTTAACATGTCCAAAATATGATACTGGGCAACTAAAACTTGTATTTAAGAGGAGTCTTCCTGTTCAGGTGGAAGAGTTGGGCTGTAAGAGAGAAACCTTCTCCCTGTGAGGCAGGAAATTAC